GGGGGAGGGGAGGGGAAGGGGGTGGAGAGCTGGGCGCTTTTGAGCATGGAGTAGAAAGAATATGCACCTGAGAAAATGCTGGCCTTTTATCCCCGCAAGTAGAGACTAAGCCCCTCCACTGGGGCTCTCTTCGTCTCCCTTTTCTGTTTCTTTAACATACTTGCCCCCGGAGAATGGGAAAGGAAAACAGGTGATGATTTGGGGTGTCACTTCTCAACACCCGTGTTGCAATACGTGCCACACACTCTACCTTGAACCCTATGTCGATACGCACCTTGTTGGGACCTTCACCTGACCCCAGACTGTGGAGACTGCAGCTGTCTTCCGAGATTGAGCCAGCCCAAGGGTCTCTATGAGCCATCTTTTAGAGATCTGTGATTGGTTGGGGGTTTTTTTGGTGTGTGTGTTTTGTTTTTTTATTGCTAGTAGTTATTTCAGAAACTCGAGGCTCTACCCAGTCTTCCAAAATGTTACTCCACCAGTGCACAGTAACTAGAAATTGTATCGATAGAGCTTAAGGCTCTTTGCCCCTTATCAAAATCCCTGTGTCCCTGGGAGTGATGACAAGTTGAGGATTCTTTACCTGAGAGCAGATGTTGTTAGGGAGGGAGTAAAAAGCACAGTCTCTCTAATGGAGAGAGAAAGGAGAGCCGTGGTCAACAGCAAAAACCATACTTCGTCTGTCTCACAGTTTTTTACAAGGCAAGCTTTAACAGTCAGTGTTCAGATCCAGCAGAGTTTATCGAGTACTTAATATGGGCTGAGCACTGAGCTAGAAATCTCCATGTCGTTTAATCCTCATGACAACCCAGGCAAGTACAGTAAGTAACTTATTTCACAGTCACAGAGGCAAAAAACTCCTAAGTGAGCAATAGTCAGACCTAAGGTCCAATCTCACTACTGTTGCTAATTAGTTGATTGACCCTAGGAAATTTACTTACCATCTTCATTTTTTTATCTGTAAAGTAGACATAAGACCTGAAGATTAGGTGAGGTAATATATAAAAAGGCTTCTGGAATGTATGTAATAGAAGCACAATAACTGTTGTTTTTTTCTTTTTCCCAGTAAATGAAGGAGCCAAGATTATAGCTCATGTCTTGACTCCCAAGACCAGGTCTCCATATTTGTGATTGAAATTTGTGGGCAGACATCTTAAAAAGGCTTCTCAGGGACAGTGACTGACCACTCTTTACAGACTGGTTAGTTTGCCTCGTTATCTGCTTGCTTCTATAGCAAGCTGTGCATTTTAGGTTGATGTAGCCTGTTAAATATTTGGAAACTATCAGCTTGCCTCACTGTCTGATTGTGGCTCTAATTGTATATTTATCTTAGCTGTCTGGGGCTGCATCAGTGAGATGGCAAAGGTAATTTTATTCAAGAGTAGCTTAGTCACATCCACAGATGACAAAATCTGAAATAGTGATTATAACAGAACTCCTGACATTAGGGCTACATTTTTAATTTTGAGGCTGATACTACAGAGAGTTTAGTATGTGTCAGGCTCTAAGCTAAGCACTTTATATACATTATTTCACTTAGTTTGTTTCTTCCTATCAACTCTATGAAATATACCTATTTACAGATGAGGAAACTGAGGCACAGATATTCAGTGGTTATCTCAAGGCCACAGTAGAACTTGGCAGTACAAGTATTCAAACAGAGGCAGCTGGATATCAGAGCCCACATTCTTAACCACAAGGCCAGGGGTTGGGCCTGAGAATAGTTAGGCACCACCGTCCATCTAGAATCACAGTCAGAGATCTGATGATTCCAAAATTAACGGAGAACAAGTCTTTTGAACTGGTCATGTAGTTACCTCTTTTCCTACTTGAGCAGTATATTCTAAAAAACTATTTCATACTCTTCCTTTGTCCCAAGGAGAAATATTTGACAGGTCTGTGACATGTTTATCATTTCCACCCCCTGCAGAAACCCTGTCCTTTCCTACATGTTTATCATTTCCACCCCCTGCAGAAACTCTGTCCTTTCCTACTTCTGTTTTCTTCCCCACATTCTACACCTCCTCCCCCTTACACCACTGTAAACTCCTTCAATGCTTACTCATCGTCTTCAAACAAACTCTTTCAAAATTGTGCTTTATATAAGAAAGTTAATTACAATGCGCTTTTGTTTTGTAGTCACCATTACTTTAAGTACTGCAAAATCTCAGCATTGGCTCTACTGAAAATGGTGATGCACGCCAGATCAGGAGGCAACCTGGAAGTGATGGGCTTGATGCTGGGAAAGGTGGATGGTGAAACTATGATCATTATGGACAGTTTTGCTTTGCCTGTAGAGGGCACTGAAACCCGAGTAAATGCTCAGGCTGCTGCATATGAGTACATGGCTGCATATATAGAAAATGCCAAACAGGTAAAAATTTTGTTCCTTAAAGTTTAATTACTCTACTGCAAGTTAAAGAGTCTCATGGTGACTTTCAACTTTCTAAACAAAGCTATTCTCTTTACATTAAAGTTTAAATTTTAAGTTATTTTTAACAATTTCTATGTAAAATGTATATGAAATTAGCATGAATTTTTAAAAAATAAATTCTCACACTCAAGAGTAGATGTTAAAAGTTATTATCACAGGAAAAAAATTGTAACTGTGTGATGATGGCTGTTAATTAACACTTATTGTGATCATTTTGCAGTATATACATATTGAATATTACGTTGTATACCTGAACTAATATAGTATTTGTTATATGTCAATTAAATCTCAATAAAAAATTTTTTTAATTCTCACACATTATCAGATGTGTGTTTAAAATCAAAACTTTGGAAATAACCTAAGTGTTACTGAGGAGAAAACTGGTGCCCAGCTGGTGTGGCTCAGCGGCTGATCATCAACTTACAATCCAAGAGATCGAGGTCCAATTCCTGGTCAGGGCACATGCTTGAGTTGTGGGCTCAGTCCTCAGTAGGGGGTGTGCAGAAGGCAGCTGATCTATGACTCTCTCATCTTTGATGTTTCTATCTCTCTCCCTCTCCCTTCCTCTCTCTGAAATCAATAGACACATACATATATATAAAGAAAACTGATTAAATAAATTATGGTATAGTCATACAATGAGCTGCTAACCAGCCTTTAAAAAAAATTTTTTTAAAGTAGTTACATATTTACTAATACGAAACAAACCCCAGAGTATTTTAAGTGCAAAAGCAAAGTGTAGGACACCGTTTGTGGTATGCCATTATGTGTTTTTTATTAATCTACATATATGCAAAGAATATCTCGAAGATAGGTACTTAAGCAGCTGCATGTAGTGATAACATATGGGCTGAGAAACTAGATAGTTCAAGGGAAAGAGGTAGGAAGGAGACTGAATAACCTTTGTATCTTGTTAATTTTGTGCTTTGGCGTATATTATCTATTCAGAACATCTTTTTTTAACTTGAAAGCAGCATATTCTATAAACTATTGTGCATACTATTATTTTACTATAATGCTATGTGAACAGACAAATAAGTGTCTCTAAGATTAAACAGGAACCTCAAACTCCCTTGCCCTTTTCATTTGTTAGGTTGGCCGCCTTGAAAATGCAATTGGCTGGTATCATAGCCACCCTGGCTATGGCTGCTGGCTTTCTGGGATTGATGTTAGTACTCAGATGCTCAATCAGCAGTTCCAGGAGCCATTCGTAGCAGTGGTGGTAAGTACTTTTACAACCCATTTTCATGAAGTTCTTTATGGAGATTACTAAAGCAAGTATATCAAGAAATAAAACTGTGGTAAGAGCAAGGTTCTGGTGTCAGTCTGCCTAGGTTTGAATCTGGATTCCACCTCTTAGGAACTGGAACTTTGAACACGTTACTTAATCTCTCTGTGTCTCTTCCCCCACTCCGTAAGATGAGGGTGATCACAGAACCTGTGTCTCAGGTCCCAGCACGTAGTAGACATACAGCCAGCGTTGACAGAGTTGAGTAAATCAGGAATTGCTAGAGCAGCTCTTGGTATGTTCTAGATGCCATCCAGGCTACTTCGAGGAAGGCAGAAATTGGCCATCTATTAATAGAAAAAAATTTGCTCCTCTTTTGAAAAAGAGGAGCAAATCTTCAAATAATATTCTTAAAGAATATAATAATTAGATCTAACCTCTAAATTAACTATGAAACATTTCTATACTTACCACTTTATTGAACTTCTATGGATTTTTAGTTTCTTTTTTTTCTATTATTTGGTTATTTTAATTATTGTGTGTGTGTATATAGTGTTATATTTACATATGTCTTTTTAAACAAATGGAAGTATAAAATGATTTTATAATCGGTAGATATTAAATATATCTTTCTTGTAGATTGACCCAACAAGAACAATATCTGCAGGGAAAGTGAATCTTGGAGCCTTTAGGACATACCCAAAGGTAATTTTTAAAATTATAAGTCTGTATAACTTTTAAAATTCCAAATATTTGACTTATTTTTAAAGATGTGTTATGGTTAGTATCTTGTTTTGTCCTAAAGCAATTTGATAATATTTACAAAACAGCAGTCAGCTTGTCCTTAGCACAAATCGTCCTTAGCAGAAGACAATACATATATGCTTTATATAGTTAATTCCATTAGAGAAGCAGTCTTCGTTTGTTAATAACTGTCTGTGTGCCTGTGGCACCCTCACAGGCACTAGAGAAACAAGCTAAACGTATCTGTTTCCTTCCCTGCAATCTAAAATAGATATTAGCACAAGTACACCTTACTGAAGGACAAGAAAATGAATATGGCAAATCCAGTCTTCAGCCACCAAATGGAGTTGAGGGAGGGTATAAGCAATATACATTTTTATTACTAGAATATTTATGTTCAATATTTAGCTCCCCAAAATTAATGTTTCTATAAATAGAAAGCTGCATGTAAAACATGTTTTCCTTCTGGTTTGCTTTTTTTTTTAATCTTCTATTTTCTTCATTTTTGTTTAGGGCTACAAACCTCCTGATGAGGGACCTTCTGAGTACCAGACTATCCCACTTAATAAAATAGAAGACTTTGGTGTACACTGCAAACAGTAAGTAATTTTAAAATATATCTGATGCCAGAGTCATCAAAAGAAACCTTAGAGATCGTATAGTCCAAGCCCCTTACAGGTGAGAATAAAGGTTCAGACAAAATGCATTTCATAATACCTTTTAAAATAATAGTAAGGATGTACAAGTTTAGGATAATATTTGAATTTTTTATTAATTGTTTTAATCTAACATGTTATTTGTCTTTCACACAACCATAAACATTTATCAGTGTACAAGATACTTGGTCTGTTAATGAAATTAACAGTTGAAGAAGTTGTATTCAGGGCCAGCCTGACACTAGCCTGTCAGCAGCCTCAAAATACCCAGGTTCCACTTAGCAAAAATTCTTCCTGAACATTTCACTCCAAAAGCTAAAGAAGCCATACTAAATACCACTGAATTGTATACTTCTTTAAAATAGTGAATTATTATGGTATGTGAGTTACGTCTCAATTTTTAAAAGTGTTAAAGAAACCAATGGGTTGGTGTCTCTCTCGCATCAATGTTTCTCTTTCTCTCTACCCTCCACCAGCTAGACACCAACGTAGCTTTCTAGGTTTCCCTCACATAATTCTGCTCTTGCTGCTGTCCAGGCAAACCGATTTCCTTAGCATTCCTTTCATGGTTTTCCTTTGTATGAGTCGATGCTCTTTGCCTAATGTCCTCCTTGCTCTCAACATATCCACACCATAGACTCATGTAAGGGTTACTCTAAATCTTGTTTTCTCCCTGGGGTTTCTTGGGCAGTCTGTCAACACTGAGAGTGCTCATTATCTCAAGCAGTTAATATGCAGGTGATTGATTTTATATACGCACTATAGCATCACTTATTGTTATTCAGTGTATGTCATTTAACCTCTTGTGGATTCATCTTCTATATAAATGGCAAGCTCCTCAAGATAAAGAAGTCCCTTGTTTTTCTTTGTATCCATGTATATACAGAATCTAGATATTTATTACTTGAAAAGATATGTTTTTCAGACATTTAAGCAAATTTTCCTTGCTATCCCGGATTATAAATTATTATTTATTTATTATTTATTATTATTATTTATTGCTTTGGAAGCAATAGTAATTCTTTTAGGTGCTTTAAGGACCTACTTTATAGTTTACTTTCCAAAAAGCATTAAGTCCTAATTAGGGGATTAGGATGGGAAGAATGGGGAAACCACATGTCATTTTCAGTATTTTTAAAAGCCTAACAAAAATTATACTTGACCCTAGACAGGCAGTTCATTAAGCTTATGTGCTGTTGTCGGGAACTAATAAACTCAATATTGCGGATAAACATATGTCATTCAGAAGTTCTGACTGGTTGTTGATAACTTCTTGGGAATTTCTGGGCTCTGCAGAGGAAAAAAATATATAACACAAAGTTTACTAAGCAAAAGATTTTGAAACCATACCCCCTGAAGAGTAAAGAGACCGTGGTTACCTGATGTTCTGTTGGACTAAAAACTAAAACATGACTATTTGGATATAAAATGTAATTCACTTAAATTTGGCCATAACTTTCATATGATGTACCTGAGTATTTTTTTACTTACTAAATTTGTGCTTTCGTTTCATAGATATTATGCCTTAGAAGTCTCATATTTCAAGTCCTCTCTGGATCGCAAATTGCTTGAGCTTTTGTGGAATAAATACTGGGTGAATACATTGAGTTCCTCTAGCTTGCTTACTGTAAGTACTATACTTTCAAAGGATGCCCTTGAATTTAATCTAAGATAAATGTTTAATATCCGAAACTCTTTTTCATGGAATGTCTATATCTGACTTGGCCAAGACAGCAGGACTGGGGTCAGATCCTGCATGACTAGAGCTGGATTAGGATAATAGGCCAAGCAGAGGTCTGTGTCATGTACTGTTGAGACCAAGTCTAAGTGGCAGATATAGTGCCCAGATGAGGGTGAGATCTGACCCTGCTTTAAAGAGACCTATAGAAAGAAAAAGACAAATACTGTTTTTTGCGTGTGTTAAGTATTTCAGGTAGGACTGTAGTTGCAAGTGACAGAAGACCCAACCAAACTGACTTAAACAAAAAAGAGAAGTATGTGAGCTGCAAAGTTCAGGAGTATGACTTCATTCAACTTCAGCTAAGTTTGCAATCAAGCAATGTTATGAGGTTTTGGTCTTTCTCAGTTTTGATTTCATGACAGTTGGCTTGTTTCAGGCTTTGTGTGAAAGCAAGATGGCAGCATTAGCTTCAGACCTCCTAGCCTCTTGGTTTCACATTCAAAAGAGAAGATCAAGATACACACACACACACACACACTCCCTCCCCATCTCTGCCTGTCTCCATGTCTGTCTGTCTGCCTCTCTCCCCCTTGGCAAAGCCTCGTTGTGTCTGAGCTTTGCTTAAGTACTGCCCATCTGGGCCAGCAAGTGTTTTACTACTGGGGTAAAAGAAATTGTTTCAGGAGTACATGGACTTAGAATGGGGAAAGGGTTGTCCCAGAAGGAAATCAGGATATCATACCTTAAAGCAGCAGATGCTAGGCCAAAAAAAAAAAAAATTGCTGAATATTTTCCAATATATCATTAAAACCTAATATATTTAGAAGGATATTTATTTAACAAGCTTCTATCCTATTTATAGCTTAGCCAGGAACAGTTTGGTTTTTTTGTTTTGTTTCTTACTTAAAAAAAAAAAATTAAAGAAGTAACCCACTTCATATAGTACAATTTGCCTAATGGTTAGAACCACAAAATTTGGAATAAAATTAACTCAGTTCAAACAATGCTGCCACTTTACTAGTTGCGTGTGATCTTCAGAAAGTTATTTAATGTGACTGAGCCTTTCTTGGATTCAATAATACTAGTACCTACATATTAAATACATTGAGAATTATTGAAATACTTTATATAAAGCATTTAGCAAAGTGCCTGGCATATAATAAAGCCTCGATAAATTATTTTGTTGTTGTTTGGTTCATTGTATTCGGGGGGAAAGACCTCACTTGAGCATATTTTCTATCACTTTAAACACAATTCTGACAAGTTTTCTGTTCTTATTTTTTATCCTCAACAGTCAGCAGCAGCATATTAGAAGGAAGGAGAGTGACCATAACAGCAAACATTTAAGAGCTTCCTATATGCCAGATACTGCTAAATGCTTTATATGTGTTGTTTCCTTAGAGGCAAGTGTACTCATAGCAGCCAGAAGTGACACATGGTGGCAAGGGGAGGAAACACTAAGACAGAGCAGCCTGAACCTTTGTGTAAAGGCAAACCCACCTACTCAGCCTTTGGCTGTCCGTGTATTACAGCACTGCACATACTGAGGACATTAACAATCAAGAAAAGGTTAAATTATATTTCTTCCTTCCTTATAGTTTTATATATAGTACATTGCAGCATTTTAAGAAAGAATATATAAATATATGTTCACATCATCTCTTTTCCCAGCTAAAGCATGTAACCTAAAAGCTACAAGGAAAAAAAGTAATTTTCTGACCTAAGAAGTTAGTTCCCTTTGTCTATTCTCCATGTGTCTGAAATGTAATTGATATCATTTTATTTCATTTTAATACTATAACTTTCTGCCTTCCTACATTTTCATGGCTTGAACTAAATCTTCCAAATATGAAATGGTCTATAACCCGTTGGGTTTTCTCCAAACTTAGGGAGTGGTGGTGGTGGTGGTGGTATCCTAAACCATTTAGATCCAGACAAAGTAAATATAATTGCATCTTTAAAAAATATAAGTTCATAAAACCATTGAAGAACTGGTAGCATTCTGTAGTGACTCTGATGACAGCAAATAACTTTTCTTGTTTCATGATTGAGCTATATTTCCTGTACACTGTCTTGTAAACAGAGCAAATAAGATACCACACTAATTGTTGTCAAGTTGTTTATTAAATCTTCATGTTCTTCTATTGAAAATATAGGAAAGCAATGGACTATATACATCACAGCTCATCTTTATGAAAAGTTCTGTATTTTAGATACATTTTCAAAAAGATGTCCCATAAAAATATTTTTTAAAATATTACAGTTAAGTGTATATATGAAAAATATGAAATATTATAGGACAAAATGGTAAATACAGGGGTGGGCAAAGTAGGTTTAGAGTTGAGAGTATGCAAAACAGAGTTTATTCGCTACTGTAATAATCATAACCCGCATGGCTTTTTTCATAGGAACAGCTGTAAACCTATTTTTGCCCCTGCTTTTGCCTCACCCTGTATATATTACAGCTTGCCAAATATAGCTGTGCATGTGAGGAGATAGCAATACTCTAAAATATAACCATGGTTATAGCTAGGTGGAGGGATTATACAGGGTGGGGCAAAGGTAGGTTTACAGTTTTTCTTATGGAAAAATAATACAATAATTAATAAATAATAATACAAGAATAAACTGTGCTTCATGTACTTAGAACTGTAAACCTACTTTTGCCATACCCTTTATGTGTTTCTTTTCCTCTTTATATTGCTCTACATTTTCCAAATTTTCTACAATAGCTATTAATTTTATAATCAGAAAAGCTAAAGTTAAAACAATGTTATTTTTAAAATATTGTCATAAGTACTAATTTCGGAAGTTCAACAAGAACAAATAACAAAATTAGTTAACAATTATTAAGGCTTTGCCAGGTGCCATGGACTGTCCTAAGAACTTTATATATGTTACTAAATTTAATCTTCACAATAGCCTGAAGGTAGAAATTACTGACTTCCTCCCCCATTTTAGAAGAAGACTTAAAGGCACAGAAAAGTGAAGGCATTCTCTCAAGGCCTCCCAACTAATCTGTAGCAGAACCAGAACCTGGGCTCAGATCTGTGAAAGCCTCTCATTATAACAAATATTAAATTTCAGCAGTCAAAAAGAAAAAGTTCAAGCGTGAAAAACTCTACACTTGGACTCCTTGACTTTGCAGTTAGTCTTTGCAAGTTGCATTTGACTTCTTAATTCACTGACTATCCACTTCAATTTCATAGTGAAATTCTTTGTAAATGACATGTCCTATATAGAAAAAAATTATTTTATATTAAAATTGTCTAATGGTAGACTTGTATTGTGTACTGACACAATATCATTTTCCCTCCAGAATGCAGACTATACCACCGGCCAGGTTTTTGATTTGTCTGAAAAATTAGAACAGTCAGAAGCCCAGCTGGGACGAGGGAGTTTCATGTTGGGTTTAGAAACACACGACCGAAAGTCAGAAGACAAACTTGCCAAAGCTACGCGAGACAGGTAAGAGCAAATCTGTTCTAGCCCCTCTTTCTGTTTCAAGATTTGCAAGTAATAGTAGGATTCAGATTCCTTATGGTTTAACTTACTTATAACTTAGAATCGTGCCTGAATATTAACTTCTTGGGACCCTTAAGAGTTATCAGAGGCAGATCTTAACTTTGAAAATATGGAGACTTTAGATAAGAACATTAAAATCTTAGAGGTCTAGGTAATGTTATAAAAAAATCCTTTTCTAGGAGTCACACCTTTTCTAGGTTTAGGTAGAAAATGTAACAAAGAAAACCAATCAGTCACTGAGTCTTTGAAAAAAAGCTTTTGCAAAAGGATGCCATAATCCATTCTAACCTAATTATTTTCTGAGGAATTAAAATAGGATTTCTTAAATTTTAAATTTATCAAATTTCAAAGTTTTATAAAGTTTTAAGCCCCTTAATAGCACACTAATGATTGTATCTCCCTTGTTATTCTTCTGAAATTATCTTTGGTTTAGTATCCCAAATTTCACTATCAAGATTTGTTAGGAACAAACTTGGGATATGTTCTCTTGATAACTTAGGAAATAATTATGTGGCCCTTCAGATGCATACAGGATTGGGAAGACCACCTAAATGACATTTACTTTCAAAAAAATTTTGAGTTTTAATGTGATAATTAGGGGCAGAAAGGAGGGGGAAATTATGTTGACATCTGTATAAACTGAAACCTTGGTATCCATTTTAAGAAAAACTGGCCTGGTAGATGGAAAGAAGGGAAGAGGGAAGACATTGTATTCGGAGCAGAAGCCCTCTTGGGTTAGAAATACCTCATTCCTTTCTTTTCCATGTGTTTTTAGGAGGTATAGATAGAGCTAGTAGCCTGGATAAAAATTACATTTTCCTTTGACATTAGGTCTCAATTTTGGTATTTGCTCTGAATGTGTGTTTTTTCCTCATCAGTCTCTGTAACTTTGTGATTTGTAATTTTGTCTACGTTTACATCTCAATTTCTTATGAAGCAAAAATCTTACTATGGAAAAGCCTTCAATTACATAAGAGCCTGGCCAGGCGTGGCTCAGCGGTTGAGCATCGACCTAGGATCCAGGAGATCAAGGTTCGATTCCCGGTCAGGGCACAGGCCCAGATTGCAGGCTCGCAGCCAATCAATGACAACTCTCTAATGATTGATGTTTCAACTCTCTCTCTCCTCCTTTATTTAATGTATTTATTTATACATTAAATAAATAAATAAATTGAGGAAACTTTCCCTTTAAAAAAAATTATGTAATAAGGAAAGCAGGAAGGACAAAAGTAGTAATATAAAAGCAGAGAATTTCCTTTTTTTTGGTAACTTTAAGAATTGCATCTCTTCTGAATATTGGTGGATTGTTATCGTTTGTGAGGGTTACCTTTTTTTTTTTTTTTTTTTTAATCTTAAAATACAAATCCTGCATGGCTCAGTGGTTGAACATCGACCTATGATCCAGGGGATAGCAGTTCAGTTCACTGTCAGGGCATGTTCCCTAGTTGCGGGCTCAAGCCCAGCCAGGGGCATGCAGGATGCAGCCAACAATGACTGTCTTATCACTGATATTTCTTTTTTTTTTTTTTTTTAAATATATCTTTACTGGTTTCAGACAGAGGAAAGGAGAGGGAGAGAGAGAGACAGAAACATCAATGATGAGAGAGTCATTGATCAAGCCCACAACCCAGGCATGTGCCCTGACCGGGAATTGAGCCCCAATTGCCTGGATCCTAGGTTGACACTCAACCACTGAGCCACGCCTGGCCGGGCTCATTGATATTTCTCTCTCTCTCTCCCTTCCTCTCTCTAAAATCAATAGATATATTGTTTTTGTTTTTGTTTTTTAAATATATCTTTATTGATTTCAGAGAAAAGGAAGGAGAGGGAGAGAGATAGAAACATCAGTGATGAGAGAGTCATTGATTGAGCCCGCAACCCGGGCATGTGCCCTGACTGGGAATCTAACCTCGATCACCTGGATCCTAGGTTGATGCTCAACCGCTGAGCCATGCCCAGCCGGGCAATAGATACATTTTTTAAAAATAAAATAAAATAAAATAATAAAATATGAGTCGTTCACCCACTGACCTTTGACTTTTAATTATTTGAAGGATATGTGTGTTTGTTTCAGGGAAAAATGCATAGGATTCTTTAAAATCATTTTTAAAATTATTCTTAGCAGTAAACAGCAAGGAAAGGAATAACATATATATATATTTTTTAATTTTTTATTGATTTCAGACAGAGGAAGGGAGAGGGGGAGAGAGAGAGAAACACCAATGATGAGATAGAGTCATTGATGGGGTGCCTCCTGCAGGGCCCCTGCTGGGGATTGAGTCCACAGCCCAGTCTGTGTCTGGACCCGGAATGAAACCACGATCTCCTGGATCATAGGTCAATGCTCAACTGCTGAGCCACACTGGCCGGGCAGGAATAACATATTTTATGTAATATTGGAATCAATATAATTATGAATTATATATAAGTTAGTCACCTTCTAAAACAGAACTTTTCCCAAAGCTGTTGACAAGTAACAGAATTAACTTAGGAATTATCTCAAATTTTACCTTGTTATTTCTTGTGAAAGTCCTCAGAAGTAATGAAATGGTCAAAAGACATGCAGAGGCTAAAAATAACGACAGTAAACTATAAATTGGTATGGTTTGGGGAGTATGAATAGAACTGAACATCATTATTGGGGGTGCAAGGATGAAAATGGGGGGGACTTGTATATTTGAAACAGTTTTCAGGTCTTGTGACATTATATGATGTGTTTTTTCTTTCCAGCTGTAAAACGACCATAGAAGCTATCCATGGATTGATGTCTCAGGTTATTAAGGATAAACTGTTTAATCAAATTAATATTTCTTAAACAATCACTAAGTAGTACTTTTGCCTGAAAGCCAGTATGAGAAAAATACTCAAGTAACAATTTAAAACCAGTTACCAAAAATCTGATTAGAAGTATAAGGTGCTCTGAAGTGTCCTGAACATATTAACATCCTGTAATAAAAGTCTTTAAAATGAAATTGTTCTTTCATTGTTTTGTGGGAGGGGTTAAATTATTTTCTAGTATCCTTTAATATTCTTGAATTGAGGGAAAGAAATATTAGAACCTTTCTGGTCGTTTTTTTTTAATGTTTTTATTGATTTTTAGGGAGAGGAAATGAGAGGGGGGGAGAGAGAGAAGCATCAATGTGAAAGAAAAACATTGATCAGTTGTCTCCCCGAACAAGGATTGAACCTGCAACCTGAGTATGTACCCTGACCGGGAATCGAACCAGTGACCTTTCAGTGCATGGGACAAAGCTCAACCAACTGAGCCACACCAGCCAGAACATTTCTGTTTTTTAAAGAGTCTTGCATGGGACTATTTTTTAAAGAGTCTTGCCTTTCTAAATTAGTCAGAGAATTTCAGTTTTTCAGTTGCCATACTGATTATCAGAGCCACTTTTCAATTTGCTTATACATTAAGTCCTCACTGAAGGTCAATCAGTAGGTTCTTGGAAGTGCAGTGAAACCAATTTTACCATAGGATAATTGATATAAACAAGAGTTAAGTTCCTAGAGCATCTCATCAACATTATAATGAAATGACATTGGATAAAACATTTGAGGACCTCCTTTTGACAGCCCATTAGTAAAAATATATAATTTAATATGGTGTTTTTGTGTTCAGATGAAACATTAATCAAATCACATCATAAATTATTTTCCTGAAAATCAAATAACTTATTTGAGATGAGCCTAGCACAGGGTATCTAGCCATTCAAATATTCACCAAGTGCTTTTACTGAAGTAGGCCCAGTTTTCTCTGCAGATATTCTGAGCAAGATAGACATGACCACTGTCCTTGCAGAACTAAGTTAACAAGAATTGAAGTATATTGCTGTGAAGGGAGAAATAAAGTGTGCTGGAACTCTTGGGGAAAACACCCCAGAGTGAAGTTACCCAGGTAGGCTTCCTGAAGGAAGTGCCTGACATTAGGCTGAAATTTGAAAGGAGGACTAGCCAGAAAAAAGCATAATGGGGAGGCAATTACTTCTACAAGCAGAGAGTACAGCATTGTGTGGAAAGCCAGAGGCAGAGAGCAAGAACTTGAGAACCTTCAAGAACTGAGATTCAGTTGGACAAGTGTTGAGCAGAATATGAGGAGTGGCAAGAGATGACTTTAATAGGTAAGATGAGGGTAGATCCTGCAGGTGCCTTTTGGACTATACTAACGGCAGTGGGGAGAGAAAAGAAACAGCAGAAATGTGCTAGATTAGTATTTCTAAGTACACTCCGTTAAGAGATTTGGGGGTAATGGCTGACCTGTAGCAAATGAGAGAAGATAAGGAAACCTCAGATTTTAAAATGGCAGAGGAAGAGGAGATTACTGAAGCAGAGAAGTAAACTTTTAGAAGTAATTTACCAGTGACTTCACATGCTGCCGAGAAGTCAAGGAAAGTGAGGCCTAAAAGCTTTCTATTAGATTTAGCAATAAGATGGTCTTTGGCAAGATGAGGAAGCCAATTACCATTAGTATCCAAATACTTTCTAGCATTTTGGTCTCGTTTTATATCCTTTTAAGTAAAAGCAGGTACCCCCCCGTTTCAGGTGGCTCAGCCTGACCTCCATTTTTATGCCCTTTTAAAAAAATCGGACAGCCCCCAACAAGCAGCCAAAATCTATATTGACTCCACAACCTTCAGTGATACCAACACCACACTGTCATTCAGTTAGGAACACTCAAGTTTGTTGAGGTTTCTCTGACACATGATTGAATAGTTAAGGTTTTGACATGAAAGAGGAGTAATTGAAGTCACCATGAAAACACACTGGCAGTTTTCATTCCAATACTAGAATATAATTATCCACATTTAATTTGACATTGGTGACCTAATCAATTAAGACATCTTGGTGTGATGGAAAATGCCTATAACAACCAAGTAACGCACAACCAGTTGCTTAAACAATAAGAATTTGTTGGCTCACCTAACTCCAGAGTCCAGAATCAAATTTGGATTAGGCTTCCTGTTAATGGTTCTCAGCTCTGCCCTCCACATGTTTACCTAAACCTAAAGCTGATTCTGCCGAACTGGCTGCATACCACGCCATGCAGTTAGGGGGAAATAGCTGCTTATGACTGTCAAAATAAGGTTCCCACTTCATTCTGATTAGTCAAACTTGAGTTGTAAACCCATCCTTGGGATTATATATAGTGACTGCTTTAGGCCAATTAAGGGCTACCCTCTACTACACATTGAGAGGTTAAATGGGTATTACAGAGACATCAGTGTCCCTCTATTCATTGTCCCAGATCAGGCAAAAATAGCAGAAAGGAGCATATGCTTTTTTTTTAGAGAGGAAGGGAGAGGGGGAGAGAGAGAAACATCAATCAGCTGCCTCCTGCATGCCACCTACTGAAGATCAAGCCCGCAACCCAGGCCAGGAAACAAACAGGCAACCCTGTGGTGCTCAGGACGCAGCCCAACTAATTGAGCCACACAGCCAGGGCACACTTGCATTTTATTGTAAATGTAATTACTTTAATTAAAAAGCAAGATCCTTTACAAATATTGTTAAAGTCTCTTTAAATTGTAATGTGCTGTCATGATCACGTTTGGTGTAAGTGCTCCGATTTATATTATTGAGCTTTTAGGAAATCAGGCTTCAATTTGCAGCCATCATCCAGAAACTAATGGATCGGGGTTACCTTTCCCTGCAAAGTATTATTTTACAGCCTTCAGCTATTCAGGAGCTGAATAGGCCATTTTCTAAGTGAAGTCTGGTTTTTGTTCAGTTTCAACTTTTTTCAGAGATAATTTCTCAAGCTCTTTGGTGATAATATACAGGAAATGTCAATCGTTATCAAAAACTTAATCCCAATGTCCAAGTAATAAAACTGGAGCCAGAAGCATGGGCTGGAGAAGAGATGGAGAGAGAAGTCAGTTCCAGACAATTCAACATTATAGTTATTGCTGAGAATGTATGCATTTAGTACCATTTTTAGGTTACATTGTCCGGTTATATGAGCACCTCATTCTACATGTTTTGTTTATTGGTTAACAATAAAACACCACACAAGTTTTTATTTTGAAATCAGTGTACTACTAAAATCAAAGAGCGAAAAAGAAGAGAAGCTGCTCCATTGTTTCTGAATGTGGAAAATAAGTTCTGAGGCCAAACATCACAAGCCCCACTTGAGGGATCTAGTCTGAAGATTGTTGTCGCAAATTAGTATGACTACCTAGTTAGTATTCAGGATTTTGAAAAATCACTGCATTGCACAATAGAATAATAAACTGCCCAATAGTGCAGCCACTTGAAAATAAACACAAGGGCAGGAGCATAGTAACTTTACAATGAATCAGAGAAACTGTTTGGGAGTTGGAGTGCTACATACTGCAGAGGCTCAGAGTTTCCAAAAACTGTTCTGTGAGTGATGAGGTACAGATGCATAAATCATGCATGCAGAGAAGACTTCATTTATATTGCTAAGTCTGCACTGTATCCACACGTAGCTGAATAAACTGAACTGAACACAGACTGTTGAGTTCCAAGGTTTCTTTCTATATTTCTGGATTGTTTTAACTATGAAATCCAAAGACACATGCATTGTTAAGCAATGTGGGGGCTTTTTCATTTTAGGGGGGCATGGTTTCTGAAGATGGGAAAATATACAACACATAATGATGGCTCTTATTTTTGCACATCCTTACGATATAAAATAAGTAAAAGATTATGTTCAAAATATGGTGAGGTAATTGTTTCATTCACTGTTAATAATTGAAATGTCTAGGCCATTGTGTTTGCAAAATATTAGTTAGAAAATTGAAAATCTGTGTGTTCTCTCATTTTGGCCTATTTTCAACACAAGTTTCAACAGCAAATAAATGTACCTTCTTGGGGCCAAAATGCTAGTTTAAGGACTTCAAGTAACTTCTTCTGAGGTAATCAGTCTGTAAGTTTCTAAAGGTTACTAAACCTTTTATCTGACTATTAATGGAAGAAATACCATTCATCTTTGTAAATATCAAGACATGATCTACTTAGTTTAGAAAACTAATAACACAAAACTCAGGTCAACTGTAACCAGACTGGCATACTTAAACTTTTGATCTCGGAAATCAGAATATTACAAAAATGAAATAAGGAACTCTGTCATTTCGGGTCAATTTGGGGAGGAAACCACTAAAATCATAGCTTGATAACTAACACCAATGATTAATTGCTATTTCAACATGTGGATTATCTTGGTGCCAAAAATTATAGAACAATTGCCTAACAAAGTGGAGAGTCCCTGATGTCAGTTCACATATTTTCTTTGGATTATGCTAAGCAATTATGCTAAACTTTCTAATGACTGAGTAAAATGGTATTGTGCCTTGGGGCACATTTTGATGAACTACAGTTGTACTTTTCATAACCTAAGAGGCACATGCAAAAAAATGAAGTATATTGTCTAGAATAGGGCTCTGTGACCATTATGTTAGATTGTAGAGGATTACAAATATCTATCATATAACTATGAGCATGTTTACCATTAGTAGTCGTTCCTTTAAACTACTTACCTTCCTGAAAAATTAGTTGGTATAAGCTCATTTCCAAATAAATGTTTAATTTAAATTATTCATTTTTGTTCCTAGAATTTGCTACTTCATACTCATCCTTATATTCAATTCAATTCATTATTTGTATTATTGGTGATATTAAATAAGTCCCTTAAACCACGTATGTGTTTAGCTTTATTCTTTTACTTCAACTTGTATGTAATCCATCTATCATTTCTTGCACGTGTTTCCAGTATACTTGAGGCTACTATCTGAAGATTCTAGGTTTAAATAAAGTAAGAAAAATTAATGAGAAATTATGTTCTTATATATGAGAA